GAGGAATGCCTACAGAATCATTTACATTATCTTCTATCAAATTTGTGCGCCAAAATCTACTTTTCCACGAATGATGGGGCGCGGCGTCAGCTCTTTTCCCCGCGACTGCTGTCGCTTACCAGCTCCAAGAATAGATGCAGAACGGGTTGGCGTCCTGTCGAACCGAGCTCCTGACACACCCCATCATCCGCAGCGAATAAAACTGTACACATGGTTGCAGATCGAGAGCATTTCAAAAACATACCTACAACCTCTCGTGCACGTATCACCCATTAAAAGGATCGTAGCTGTTGATATGGAATCCTTCGAGCCTCCCCAGCATTCTCCCAAGTTTGGACACCTGAAGCAAGTCCAGAGAAAACTTAGAGAAAACAAACAAGGTTCAAACAGACCTTGCTTCTTCACAAACTGTGGCGAGCTTCAGGCCCTTTAGTTGCTTCTTTAACCGTGATACATTTTCGTTTTCACTGGGAAGAACCTAAAGTAGTATAGAAAACACAGGAAATATCCGAATCGTTTAGCTTGATGCCTTACCTTTTCTTTTTTTAACCAATCTGGTAACCGTAACCGACGGTCGCCTTTCTCGAGTTTCAACTTTCCGTGATATTTAGCCACGGCTTCATCGATACTACCTGAAAATCGGAAATCCCTAGACATGGTAAAGGCCACACAAAAGACGCTAACGTAGATGAGCTGAGCCAATAGTCAGCGTCTCTGCGACACTTCCCTTAATCAAGGCTTAGGCTCAGAGCGCAGACAGTCAGACTAATGCAGACTGCCTGCTCTGCGAGTAGGGCGACTCTGGCGGTCTGCGTTCTGGGGCTGAAGCTCAGCAAGAGGAAGGGGTATAAAGGCGTTTTCGGTGCCTCAGCTTGCATACTTTGACACTAGGATATAAGTATGAACATCGAGCTCACCATGTGTACATACATCTCGCCGCGCATTTCAATCACGCGATCCAAGCGACTGGATCACGAAGTATGAACGGTGTGTCGCACCCAGCAATGCTGTAGCACATTGAAACAACGGGAATGATACCCCATTTACACCTTGCAACATAGGAGAATAGGAGAATCTGCGAAGATCACACGGCATGACGGCTGGTCCCGCCCACCTGAGAATCGTGGAGAGTCCGATACGCATCTACTTCCCTTCAATGTCACTCGAGCAGAATATACTTCCTTTACGTGAATTTTAATACATTTCTGGTCGCATGGTATGAAAGCGGCCGAGTGGTAATAAAGGGAAAATGAATAGAAGGAACAAACCTGAACTAACAAAATCCGCGAAAGATGGCCCATCTTTTATCTTTGTTTTTGGCTCAGACGAAGATGCCGAATAAGCACGAATGGACTGTGCTAGTGGCCGTGTTCGTTGAAGCATTTCTAGAAGAAATCACAGAAGAAATGAAATAAAATGTACTGAGGCCAGCTTTTTGAACTGATAAAGCTGTCCGCAATATTACGGCAAGCTTTGGTGTAAAAATACGTAAAGCGAGCAGTTTCAAAACAGTGAATACGCGGGAAAGCTGAATTGGCTGTTCTTGGTGTTTGCTATTTGTCAGATTTAGAAATACAAGTTTTCAATTGTTCGTTCTTTCTTCGCTATAACTGAGATGTGAAAACCGCTTTTTGGAGTTGTTTAGAGCCACAATCTTTTCTACAACCCAACTATAAGACCTCGATTAGCACGCGCGAGTTCCATGGAGTTTTTTTTTCCCAGCCACCATTTTTATTACCTTCGAGTTATTGGTTTTTCATCACGAGCTGCTCGAATT